GCATGTATAGAAAAACACCCAGCAATCGCTTCTTTCAATTCAGCTGCCTCGTTCATACATACGTGTTAGTAGGTAGTATCTGCCGCGGGGGGTGTCATGACAGCAGCCTCAATTTTTAAGAGCACATGGCTCTTGCTCCAGGCGAAAGGAGTTGGCGGGTAGGGTGGCCGCAGTAACCGCAGTAATAGGCGGCTATAATTCCGGATCAGTTTGGGATTTCTTCGAATAAACACAACGTTGGACCTGGCTAAGCCGTCGCAACTGTTGAGCTCCCATTGGCCCAATGTCTCAACGAACCTGCAAACATGATTCATGATTCAAAAATTCAATCAGATTTAGTCCAAACCATACCAAGATTTAATCAGCACTGTATTCATAGATGGCAGTCACCCGTCGGCTAACGGCGGATTGATTCAGTTTGGACGGATGAACAGCAAGACTTTTGACCTGATACAAGGAGCGCAAGAGCGAGTGAGTTTGAAGTGGTGTTTTTTTCTTCTTCTTCTTAAAAAAAAAAAAAAAAAAAAAAAACCCCTAAATTTTCCCACCTCCGAAAAAACACCGAGAAAAATGTTGCATTTGAGTTTTTCAAGGGCTAGGATGTTAGCCCCCGTGACGGGACTCCAATTTTTCCCTTAGCAGGCGAGTGGACCCTTCCGAGTCGAGCCTGGGCTACCCTTGTTTGTTGCACATGCACATCACATTCATGGATATTACCGGATTTATTTCGCGAGGAGGAAAAGATAGGAATGCAAAGGAATACACAGCCCGGAATATATCTTTCCCTGCAAAAAAGCAGAAGATAATAGAAGTCCGGAGAACAGAACTGACAGAAATGTCAGAGACGCGAGGATTTGATTTGAATTTTTTCTTTTTCTTTTTCTTTCGCTTCCCGACGACGAAGCCATTCTGTGAAACTTCAGGGCGTAAATCGTTGAACTTAAGCCTAATGGTGATTAAGGGAATTCTCCTTTAATAAAACCTAGTGGTAAAAGTTCAATTTTATAGGGTCGCATGTCTTGGTTGTGTTACCACCACCACCTAGACAGAAAAGGATTTGAATGATCAATGCAAAGTGTATTTTTGGCGGTGGGTACACACATATTATAGTTATAGTGCGGAAGAAGCAAGGACTGTTCGGATCTTCCTAGTAGAACTAAGTTCACAATTTATCCCTTGAAGGTTCACCACATTCGGCCCGATCATCTCCCATAGGGCTGAGGATTTAGCCGAGTCCCGGGGTCTCTGGAGCATCGATGTCGTAATTTTTTTTTGCTTTCTTTTCTTTTAGAGGTATCTGTCACTCCTTGGCAAACTAAGCATGTAGCATTGAGTTATGCTACTTTAGCCTTGATTTTAATTTTTTGCTTTTGCTTTTGCTTTTGCTTTTGCTTTTGCTTTTGTGTTTATTGTTGTTTTTATGATTATTATGGTTTTTTTTTTTTGAGGGAGATTTTTTAACCAGGGCTGTTGTAAATCGTGCAGTATAACAGGTAAGTAAGTAGCAGCTCAAAATCACCGTGTTTTTTGAGTCCTTATCTTTTAGCGTCATCGGACATAACGCCCATTTTTTACATTTTCACCATGTGGCAAAAGTACCACCGCCTGTTTCATCGTAGTGGGAAAAAAACATGGGAAAATGAAACCCTCCCCTTTCATTGTTGAGAGTACTCACCGGTGCAGAGCACTTTGCTGTTCATGATCGATGGTTCCTTATCTCAAGATTTGATTTTTTCCACCAAGGTTTTATACATGTAGATCACATGAAGAGAGATTCATCTGTATCTCTTTTCATTTTGTTTTTATCTCTACCCCCCTTTTTCTCTACCCCTTACCTTTGTGACTCCCCATTTTAATACTACCACAGAGGGGAGGGAACATAAAAATCAAATTATAACAAAAAAAGGAAGAAAACAAAGCTAACATGGAAAAATCAATTCGGCCGTAGCGCTTTTGCGAACGCATAAACTATATGTGCTTATGTATCATATCTAACAAGTACGTGGCTGCGGAGTCAAAGGGCGCTCGTCACGCTGACAAGAACAAATGGGCTGTGTTTACATAGGTAGTTAGTTTACTTACTTACTTTACCTACCCGTAGCCTAAGTGGGGTGGTGATAAGATTGATAAGTTTGACTAGTTCTATAGTTAGTTTATTTTTTATTTTTTATTTTTTTTTACAAAGAAAAGATGAATAAAATAAGGAAGCCCGAATCCAAACCAAGCCAAACCCCCCAAAAAGGAAACTAGTTTTCCAAAAACGGCAGAATCGGATGGGGTAGTTCGATAGCAAGCCGGATCGGTTGGGAAAAAATTTGTCCCAAGGTCCGGCGCAAGCTCCGGCGCAAGCTCCGGCGTAAGCTCCGAGCCTGCGCCAAGAAAGACAGCAACATCGAAAACAAATATGTAGTTCGGAGGTCCGGTTGATCGATAGAGAAGTGGCTGTG